AGAAGATGCGAAAAATGCTAAAAATGCTTGCAGAACGCTGTTCCCACGCGGCAATCATGAGTGGCAACATGGGTAGCAACATGGGTGTGGTTCATTAGGACAGAATAGGATTTTCACGCTTTTCACAGCGCGAAACATTTTTCGCTGGGGAACCTCGGGTCCACTGATGATCAGCGGACCTCGAGGTTCCCGCAGCGAAAATGTTTCGCGCTGCGAAACGCGAAAAAGTCGCTTTCTGTCCTAGTGAACCACACCCGCAAAGCATCAGCTACATCGGTACAATATGCATAGCTGCATAAAGGATTCTGTCCATTCTGCTGTATCTCACCCATCCCCCCTACAGTTGATATTGTATAACTTCTTCATAAAGCAGGTCAACGGCTACACGGCGAAGAAAAGAGGTCTCATATGTGCGGTCATCACGCAAAGTTTCTCAGTATTGAGTTGGCAACGGGACAGTCCCAAAAACTGTGCCAGATTTAAAATCGGCTAATTCCGCAGTTTGCTGCGTATCCTCCTTCAAATGACGCAGCAATCCCAAAATAAGTTCAATTGCTTGGTGTTTATAAAAAAGACCCCTTTTGATCCCTCAGCAGTTACTCCTTCTAATCCTTTACTTACAAATGTGAACGGTAACTTCATCTGGATAGTTTTAATAGTTTATAGTGAATAAAAATGTAGCAATAGTTTGAATTTCGTTACACTTCATCGTACTTCTTGAAAAGCTTGAATCCTGAGTTTGTCATGTGTTCAGCTTCCCAAATGAATGACTTTGAAGGAAGTTATGATCGTTTAAAGGTTGAAAAGTCGCATTTGCACAGAAAAAAGTAACAACGTGCTAAATTTTTATTAAATTAACTTTCGAAGAATTTTACCCATGATTGGAGAGAGAATAATTTGAATTTTTAAATCAAATCACTTCGGCGCAAAAGCTCGAATATGAAGGAAGTTATAGCCCTAGAAAGAGGAAGGTAAAAATAGTGCAATTTTATTTCTTGCTTAATAACTTATTCATTTCAAATTGTTTGAGAACAAATGAGCTTCTACTTAGAAAGGCTGAGCCTCGGTGATCCAAAATCCACCTCCATCTTCCGAAGTACCTGAAATTTAACAAAGAAAAATTCGTCTACATTTCAATATCCCCGTTCGTCACCTGTTCCCGATCAGCAAACGCGCTCCATCGTCAGGGCGCGATTCAGCACATTCAAAACGCGATCAATACGCGTTCCCATTCCTTTGCTACCTCTTTTTTATACCAGATTAGTCCCCCGTCAACCGCCGGGACCTTCCTTTCCTGCGCAAGCTTTCTATCCTCCGCTATGGTCCCTTCCTCCTGTGACACCAACACCTCCTGGAAGTGACGCGTATGCAACACAATGGTGTTTCATACAGTAGAAGGGACACAATCATGATATGACGGTAGATTTTTCGCTTCCCTTCCTCATCCTCCCTCTCTCCACTGCCCTCCAGCTGCCACTGCAGCACCATGTGGAATGAACGGAAGTGTGCTAAGCAGGTGTTTATATAGCCCTAAGAGTGTTATCACAACTATCCTGCTACAAAACATTGATATCTCAAATCCTGTAAGCTACCCGATTTGTTAGCGGTTTGTTTATCCCATGAGCTTCCTTCTCACTCACTTCATTTTGCGGACGGACACACATACATACATACATACATACACACGCACACACACATACAGACATACAAACGACACACAAGGGCGGAAGTGGTGTAGTGACAAGTGGCGCGCTTACCACGCGAGCGGTCCGGGGATCAAATCCTGGGTCGTGAGTCGCCCGGGCCAACCAAGCCTTCCATCCCTCCGGGGTCGGTTAATTGGTACCAGACTTGTCTGGGAGGATAAAAACACTGACTTGTACATCGGCTGGCCCCCGCAAGTCATTGTATAGGCCACATCGCATTCAAACGCCACTACGAATGTACAAATGGAAGTAGAATGCGTGCCGCATCCCAAAAAGGGATTGATCAACGGCAAATGCTTTATCCTTTATCCTTTTATCCTCATCAGGTAAGGGGGCACGTGGTGCGACAGTTCATATCGCGTGAAGTTATCCACTTTTTTTGCAGGGGAGGGAAGCTCCGGGGTGGGTGTAAAAGTTAAGCGAAATGGTTCACGCACCCAGGGATTTCCTCCCCTTGCACACAAGTACTGCGTGCATGGGGGGTCGTAACAAATCGCCCATGAAGGGGGGTCGTAAAAAAATTCCAAAAAGTATCAACTATAGGGTTGATGTTGGTGGGAAGTAAGAAGGAATGGGATGTCAAAACAAAGGGGAAAAATGGTCTAAAGTCCAATCCTCCGTTGTAAGTTTTTGCAATTTATGTTGGCGCCTCCAAATTGCCGCAAAACACGATGACATCTATTCTCGACGATGGCGCCATTTGGCGGCAATCTGGGGCGCCAAACTATATTGCAAAAATTAGTCATCACCGGGGATCGAACTCTGGACCATTTCTTCACCACTGTTTTGACATTCCTGGAGGCGTTCAGGAAAAATGGATCATGGTTCTGTGTTCCTCGCATGAGCCCCTACAACATGCAGAAAACCATTTCGAAAAAGCGCTCCATGTCCTGAAAGACCTCCCTTGTTAGTCAATCCCATCAGGCCTCAAGCCTTACAAGCTCCAATCATTGTTTTCATAACATTTTTGTGGCAACAACGGGAACTGTTCTCCAGAAATCGCTATCCGCTCTAACACTATCTTTCCTGTTCATTGTAAGTGCAACATCCACACCACGACATCCATGGCACAACCACCTGTGTTTCTTTTTGTGGACAAAGTGTTGGAGACAAAAATAGTGTTTAATATTGTTCTGTCCTGGAATCTCATGCCTTTTTGAATGCGTAAAAGCACCATAATTTTCCAAACATTCATTGCGAAAAGCTCAAATACGTTAAAAAACTTGCAAAGCTATTGTAAAACTTTCGAAAGGTGTTCATTTCAAGCCTGAATAGAGTAGTCAAGCAACAGATTGCAGTAGTCAGCCCTGCCGAATACCTTGCGACGCTGAGGTCGTGGCAAGACTACGTTGGTAGAGTCGGGGTAATAAATAGTTTCTGCTCCACAGACGAGAAATATATTGGGTTGATGGATAATCATTGCGGATTTTTCCCGTCCTCCTTTGCGAGAAGAATGGCGTTTGTTTATTATTTTTCATGAAAATATTCTTCTCTCTTTCATTAACAGAAATGCTTATCGAAAATCATCTTCATATTCGCCATATATGCTCTACCACTTCGAGAAAGGTTGGAAGGCGGCAGAGTCATTTTGCGATCTCAACGAACTTTTCGGCGAGGGAACAATCAGCAAAAGCCAAGTTGAAAGATGGTTCAAGAGGTTCAAAACGACTCTACCGACCGGAGCTCCTACAGACTGCCACTTCAATCAGTCGTTGAAAACTGGCAAACGAACAAAATTTACGAGCTGGGTGACTTGGTGGCCGAGTTAGAGCGTGGATCGTCTCCAAGAATCGTGACTTCTTCACCCGTGGAATCGACCTGCCAAGCAAATGGGAAGCATTCTTGAAGGATTGTGTCTACGCTCCGGAATAATCATTTAAACGTGTTTTTGTTAAATATCTTATCGTTTTCTCTGAATAAAATTTGTTGAAAAAAGCCGCAATAATTGCGCACCAACCCAATAGTAGTAAAATTGCAATGGTGAAGGCTTTCACATCATAAGTGGCAACAAAGTAGTCAGTGGTTGAACAAGAAAGCTCACTTTATTAGTGCTCAAACTATTTCAATCATAGACTACTTACTCAGGAGTAATATGCGGTGTACTAAGCATGTACCCTCCCTTTCAAAAAACGAGAAAGCGTCGGGTGCAGACCATACACCACAAGTGACGACGGCCTCCAAGTAAATCTGGTTAGTAGTGGTTCATAGTGATAGCTGATTTTTGGTAAATGATAGTTGTAATTAGTGACAACTGATAGAATACAACTGCAACAGGCTAATCATTTCATTGGCAGAAAACATTTACATTTTGTAGAGGCCGTCGTCACTTGTGGTGTGAAGGAAGCAATCCCCGGACCACTGTGTACATAGCCTTGTTAGGGTGTTACCTACATATTTAGTAATTGAAAGTTCCAAAAATGTCAAAAGGGAGGAAATACAAGAAACTAGTTGCCGTGGCCCGCCGGCGGGCCATACGGTCCGAGGCGACCGATCTGGTATGGTCCATAGGTCGTCAATTGTTAATTCTCCTATCCACTATTTTCCCAGAGGAATCTGAGTGCGAGGAATACCACCTAGACGATGTAAAACGGAATATGATTTCAGGAGCATGCATACTCTGGCACTGCCACCATCGTGTCAATGCATGGCATAAAGGGGGTTTGGATGCAAGACGGCAAGTTACAGTGATGAAATGTTAACTGCAAATTTTTCTCACTTCTGCACAACGTGCCCCTGATCAGCAATGAACACGTGGATTCTGAGCAATTGGCGCCACAAAAGCAACCACGCCCTGGAAAAAGAGCGTTAAGAAAATTTTCCACACAAAAGCTTTTGTAACGAGTATAGTTTGATGTATGATCATGACCAGCCAAAGTGCAGGAATCGTAGAAATATAAGGCGCGATGGGCGTTCAGAGGGGCAAATCCAAATGCTGTTTATCGTCGTACTGCTTATCCTTCTAGCAAGTGTCAACGTTCAGGGTGAGTACAGCCAATGTTGTGAAGCATAAATAGCCAACCATTGCAGGAGGTTTTCCGAATGCTTCGACTCAAGATCATAAGAAAGCCCTCTTCCAGGTTCGCAATACACTCTACCGCCATGGATGAGAGGACAAGTGTACGAAAAGCTATTCAGAAATTTCAACCCTAACCAGGTCAGTTCTTTCTCAAGACAGTTAGAAAGCAGTAGGCTTCCTCGACACGATTCCACGAAATTTCGTCATGTATAAAAACTGATATGCAGCAGTGGAGTTCTGCTCTTGCGAATGCGGCGTTGTTCGAAGCAATGTGGCCAAGATTTCCACGTGATACCGAAACTTTCATAAGGCTCGCAAAGAAAATGTTAGTATTCGCCCACTTGAAGAATTCCTCATAAGTTCACGAAAAATTTATCATACTAAGGTTTTTCCCGAAAACGGACTCATCAGAACTAGCAGTGAAGGTGCGTGCGGCACTCGAAAGCGCTTTGAGGGAAAGGGCTACTTGGCCGGTGAGTTTAAGCCATCAAAAATATCAATTTGTTATAGTTTTTGCATAGTTGAACTTGTTCTGCGCTTCTCGTCAAATCGGAAAAGGAACAGATGTGGTATTCGAGCAGAGTGACGGAAGGAAAGGTGTAGAAGAATAGTAAAGCGTGCTGAAGGCATACCTAAGAAGTATTCTACACCAACGATAGCTCGAGTGAACACATCTTATTCAATCCCGTCAAATTACGGTAACGAGATGGAGTGATAGCAGAAAATGTGTTCAGCGAAAAAGGCAACCGGGAACCAAAACTATATTTATAAAGAGGTTGATAAACGAAGCACCAGGGTTAATTTCCTAAATTGGCTGAGGTTTGCACAGACAATGGAGCGAAATATTCCAGGCAGTATTTCCAGCGTCTTCATTCATTCGTCTCACTCAAGCTGTTAGGAATTAGGCTTTTCAGCGTTTTCGGTCTTCATTGGAAGATTTTGATGACAAGCCCTACAGCAGAAATTGCCTCGGTCTATTTTTGAGCATGCATGCGGCGGCTCTCGCTACCGTAAACTACATAAACCATGATAAATCACTAATTCTGTGCCGATTTGTGGATCTGCTGTCGGCTGCTATTTGTCTGATTGCAAAATACCCCGTAGGTTCGACAAGGGAAGCGATTGTAAACCACCATAAAAAACTAAAAATAATTGCGTTCTTTTCGCATAAGCCAATTTCCACAAAGCGACAGATTTCCATCTGGATCGAGAACGGGCTATCAGTTTTCGAGCACCTCGTGTAGCTGTCGATATTTATGTACTAGTAGAGCTAACTTCATTATAAACCAGAACTTTGGTGTGTCGGTTTGTCGGTGTGTGTGTGTGTCGTTCTGTCCGTCCGGACCAACCGCTCACAAAACCAGGGAGTACGAAGGGCAACACTTCGTGATGTTGATGTCATGATCATGATAACACCCACAGCGGCTATATAAACACCGTTGAGCACACTCACCAGGGAAGGCATTCAACTTCCCATGGAACTTTGAGATGAGACCCAGATATATCGATAGAGCTTCAAACGCTGATTACAAATATGGAAACTAAAACTGCAAAATGAACCTGCCAAGGAAGTTGTGAGCAGTCAAAGTTGGCTAAAGTAAAGCGTTACATATGAACCGTGCTATGTTCCAGGCTTTCAAGTCGCCGCGGAGTAGCGATAGTGCCCCCGCTCTCCACCCGGGAGGTCATAAGTTCTCTTCCTGTTGGAGTGCAAATTTTGAGAGCACTACCACTACTCCACGGCGACTCTGAAAGCCCGGAGGCTAGCACGGTAATGCTTTACTTCCAGCCAACTTTGACTGCTCACAACTTCCTTGGCAGGTTCATTTTGCAGTTTTAGTTTCCATATTTGTAATCAGCGTTTGAAGCTCTATCGATATATCTGGGTGTGTCAGCCGGAGGGGCAGAGGGGAGGCTAGAGAAGGGGAGTGGGAGAGGATGCAGGGAGAGAACAACCGCTTCCAAGAGGAAGGACTATATCCGTGTTGACGTATTACTCTAACGTGATGTTGTGATTCTGATAACACCCACAACGGCTATATAAACACCGATCGAGCACACTCACTCAGCCTCATCCTATTATACACAAGTGGAAGGACCATCACCCCAGGACAAAGAATGTGCAAATCGTGTCTCGATAAATTCCATGAACATGATACATGCGAAGCCTTAGACGAAGCGGCGGTTGCAAATTGCGCTCCTTCGAAGACAAATCCCGGGATAAAACTTATGCATAAGAGCGCACCATAGTGACGGCTGAATTACGAATGTCCAGTAAGATCGGATGTAGTACGAGGGCGAGCAAAACGATCAGAGAAGACAGAACACGCGAGAGAGCATTCCGTTCGAGAGCGCGCTGATCTCCACATCAATGGCGGTGGGTGGGAAGCGTTGCAATAAGGGCCGATGGTTGCAGCACCTTAACGATTAGCGCCCTAACCGCGCATTTTGTGATACGCTTTCTGTAAGGAAGGAACTACAAATTCCCTCGTAGCATCCTTCCTACTAGTTGGGCTAATCCCAGGGTTTGCTTTGAAATTGACGACCTACATAGAAAATATTTAATGAATTTTCTAGAACAATTTTCCGCACCACTGTGACCACATCATCTGAGATCCCTTTTTGCGAAAAATTCCTCGCTTCTAGGCCGCTTTCTCGTTCGTCAACATTAAGCGCTCCACAAAGGAGCGATCAACAGTGATCATCGATGTTGCCAGGCATTGTTCACATTGACAGGTGAATAGACGATCAGGATCATAATCACGCTGTCTGGAAATACTGATCTCTCGATACATGAGAGCTCCCAAGTTTCGTCAGTGCTTGGTTCATTCCAAAAGCTGGTTGTCACTTCACTTTGCGGAAGGACAGACACAACGACACCGACACACCTACTCAGTGGTTCACATTAACACAACCTACGATCTAGTCGGGAGATTGTGCTCTCAAAAGTGAGCGTAGTGATGTGAAATGAATCAGTGACAAGGACAAGAAAAACGTCAACATATCGAGAAAGACATCCTTCCTTTAACAGCGACGAAGAAACCTTGGGTAGGAGAAGGGCATGTCTGGGCAAGTTCTTTGAACACAGCCCCATCTCGTCCATTTGCTCAGGTTTGCTCACCCTAGCAACTTTGTCGTGCACTTTCAAACCGCTACAACGGACATCAGCGCTTTTCTGAACAAGTTTGCCCTGCTCACATTGGCTCACAGTAGAGGTCAATCTCCTAAAGCTCATCGCGCGTTGTCGCTCTAATAGGAGGATGACAAACAGAGTGACTAACCTCCCCTTCAAAAAGCGAGAAAGTGTCGGGTGCAGACCAAACACCACAACTGACGACGGCCTCCAAGTAAATCTGGTTAGAAGTTGTTCATAGTGATAGCTGATTTCTGGTAAATGATAGTTGTAATTATTATAGAATTAGAAAATTAATTAGGTGATCATAGACGAGTCAGATTTTAGTCTCACTCTGACAATGGCGTACACTACGGATGCGGTGGCGTTTATAACACAGACGGAGAGATGGATTTCGTTTCCGTAGTTTGTTTCTTTCAATTGTATGGTTAGTAGATCTTTGTCATTCAAATGGTCAATAAATGTAGTATGCAATTTCCGAGCCTGAAAACATGAAAAAAATCGGAATGTGCTTCTTTGTAAATTTTTCTAGGAAATATCTGCTTTCGTAGACTGTTCCGAGTGGTATAATAACGATTTCATGAAAGCACGACTTTTCAGCTATACAATAAAAAGTTGTAATGAGTGGAGAACTTCGGATATCCTTAACACAGAGGTCATTCAAGAAGCAACATTCCTTGGAACAAATCTTTCTTCTGGTGTAGCAGGGGGGGGGGCACTGCGACACAGCGCACTCAAGGATTTCAACACCACGGCCAAGATTATTTTGATATACGCTCAAGGCACAATTCGCGATCGAATTGGTGTGCTTTTTTCCAAAATTAGTCAAGAATTGCGAAGAGGGGCACAAGCAAAAGCAAAAAGCACCATGGAAAATACCGGAGTATATCATGTGAAGATGGCCATTGTTTAGCGGAAAGACACAGCGCTGCAAGAAGAGGAAAACATAAGAGAGCACGTCGTAATGTCGGTCAGACTCTGCGATTGCATCGTGCGATGCAATCGTTCTGCAAAAAGTGCAAGCGGCGGGCATGGCCCGCC